TTTGAATTTAGCCCCCTCCCCAAAAAAAAATTTTGGGTGCGCCCCTGGATGCCCACATTTCCTCGTCGTCGTTTGACGGGACCATTTTCTTTTCATTTAATCTTTCGTCGTACAATTGACACTTCGCCGCATCGTCCGATGGACTTTGATCGATTACGCACGGTCCCAACTCCTCGTCTGAAAGCCACGATCGGCTGACGTCCAATCGCCAGCTTTGGTCGTCTTCGGGTATGGATGCGGCCCGTGTTCGTCTGCGGGTTACAGTTGCTTAAGATCTATCCGACTGAAGTTGTACAGACGGAGGACAGATCCGTCGATCTGTTCTTCGACGAGCTTACTAATCTTCAAGACGTCGATGAAAGTCGTACTTCCATAAAAACGCCGAGTGCTTCGTGCCACTATTTCACTCGCGGAATCGAACTGCAGGACGGCATTGGCGGGCGGAAGACGCACTTCTGGCGATCGGTTCCGGTGGCAGCCGTCATTGTCATCGTCTTCTTCAGAATCGTCGTCCCGAGTCAAGTGATACAGCTGTCGAATAAGCGTAACGGTCTTGAAACGATTCCTTCTGTCATGGTGTGACGTCGCTCCCGACGTTCACAAGCAGATTTCTACCACCGCGGATAGGTTACGTGTCCACTAGGGACACGACTGTCTCAGTACTAGTCGTCATACCAGAATCAAAGGCCTGGCTGGCCACCTCTGATCCTGGGGTCTGGCTGATTGATGACGACTCCTGAGGTGTGCCGCCCTCAGCCGCCGCTGCCTGGTTTTCCACGCCTGGCGAAGTAACTTTATTTGTTGTGTTTGTGCCGTTCATTTGTATTTTAAGGTCAGCTTATTAGCCTCCACCGATGACGCCAGTTTCGCATCGTCTGTCTGTCTTCTGGTCAGTTCGTAGGATATACTAGGACACCGGGGGTCGATCGTTTCCCCGGTGGTGAGCTTGTCCGCGACTGCTTATTCGTCCATCCCGAAGGTATGGCTTTTTTCAAGGCTACCTGTATATCTACAGGGCGCTCCCCTATCCGCAGCCCGGGGACCCGCCCGATGGCATGCTCATGCACGCGGGAATGCATCTAACCTCCTGTACCAACAACGTTTACATTTTTTTGAAAAAAAAATCGACTACCGTAATTTATTTTTCATTTTTCCAAACTAATCACAAATATTAAAATATAATAATAATAGTATAAGTATATTATTCAATATAATATAAATAAATGTTGTCTATTATTAACTTGGTATAGTCGATACCGAAGTAGGTATATTAGAACGGTATGAACGGTTTACGATAAAGGTGGTAATAATTACCTTAAAACTAATCTAAATAAATAAATAAATGGACAGATAATATATGAGTTTATGTTATATAAAACTTCAAAGGTCTCAAAGTAATATAATATTTTTTCATATTACTGCCATACCAAAATCGTTTTTTGTTTGAATAATATCATACTTCGTTAAAATGTTATCTTAAAAATAAGCTTAGGTATAAAAACGTGATCATATATTTATGATATTTTTTATTTGCCGTATAAACAACTCATAAGAAGGATGAATATTGAATTGTAGAGCTTTTTACTGACAAGTGTAATACGAGGCGTGTCCAGAAAGTAAGTGTACTGAGGCTCTCACGGCCATAGGGAATATTTTTTTACTATGTTGGCTACACTGCCGTATAGCGTTACTCCTAACCTTTAAAACAAGACCAGAACGAGTTCAGTACGTTGTAAACTGTAGTCTCACGAATTTTTCTTGTTAAACATGTCGATCGAGTCTGCCGCCAAGTGCGAAATCCGCGCCGTTATCCGTTACCTTGTTGCGAAGGAAAAATCTCCACATGAGATTTTTAATGAGGTACGAACCGTTTATGGTGAAGGCCATATGAATCGTAACAGTGTATACAAGTGGTGTAGGGAGTTTAAAAACGGCCCTACGAATGTACATGACGGTCTGAGGAGTGGGAGACCGTCGATTTTGACTGACGACATTGTTCGGACCAGACAATACCAGAGCGCGCCATGCCTATCAAATGACGATTCCTGCCGCGCATGCGTTGCGATCACCAGCATCGGAGCGCGCTCTTGCCTCTTGGTGCGTATCGCCGTTGGTAACAAGACCGTTATGCCGGTTCCGTAATGCTGGCTGATGTCTGTCGCATTCGCATATATAGCACGCTACGTTGTGCCTTTTCCTGTTTAACCGTGTGCGTCCTTTTTATTACGTTTTTTCGCCACGCTGTTGGGTGCGTTGTTGTTATGTGCGTACGGTCGTCACTTTTCACGCGCGAT